AAGGCGAGAATGGAGGATGGTTAACGGATGTGGAAACGAAAAGAAAGAGAGAAAGTGAATGTTGGGGGTAGGGGGATGGGGGGCATGCGGACGAGAGAAAAAGTGAAAGTGAAAGGAGATTACGGTTTTAAAAATGAAAAGTAAAATAGGTAAAGATAAAAGTAAAAAGAGTAAGATTGGAATTTAGAAAAAATTGGAAAGGTGTAGGAAGAATATGGGGTGGTGGAGGGAGTAACACTCTCAACCTAACTCGTCCCTTTTTGAACAAGCTGGCGGGTTGGCCCGTCGAATCTAATCCGTTTTGCCATTTAAAAGGTTGCTCCTAATGGTTCTAGTTTTCACATATTATCCTAATTACACAAAGAAAATTTCAACTAAAGATCTGATCACATCCTTATGGTCACATATAAACAAATATTTACCTTGAACTATTTTGATTCACATATATTAGACTAAAGACCAAATGCAACTCAAAATACTAACTAATTTCAAAAAGGTACAAAAAGTAAACTTTGTTTTTAGTTCTAATTGATTGAAAGTGTAGAATTCTAGCAAAAACCACTCATACAATCTCTAATATTCAAACACATGAATAATGAGGTCATAAATCTAGAATGAAAACATATAATATAAAAGAGTTATAAAAATATGATGATTTTTATAAGATTAATAAAAATTTTATTTATAATTTGATATTTTATTAATAAAATAATTGACGGTCATATTTAAAACCATGGTTAGTTTTAAACTATTTTCTAGATCTTCACAAAATTCATTTTTAATAAAAAAAACAAATATATATATATATATATATAAACATAATTAAACTAATAAATTTATATAATTATTAATTTCCACATTGCAATGTCACTTAACAAAAACAACTTGGAATTCTTATAAATATAAAATACCACATGAATGGAAAAAAGGATATTGAAAAGTTAATCAACTAGAGGTAAAATACACCATCTTCTTTTTCAAATAATAATCAATATAATTAGTATTACTTTTTGTTGATTTTCTTTTATCAAACTATATGCTTTTATCTTTTATTTGACTATTTGCTGTCTTATCATCTATGTCCATCATTATATTAATTTGATTTTTTCTCTAAAATATCAAAAAGATTTATTGTGTATTGTTTTGAAACTTTCGTATATTTTATTATGTAAAAGTTTTTCTTTTAAAACATGCCTCATTGTAAATGTTAAGGAGTTGAAAAAAAATCTTTCACCAATACTTTATTAAAAGGATTGGACATGATTACACCCTAAAATTTTCGTAAACTTAGAATTGCTACAAGTGAAAGTATTTATTTTGGATTACAGTTTTATTATATGTAGTGTTTTACAAATTATTTTAAACATCGATCGATGTAAAACTTTTTCAATGTACTCAAACTTGAGAACAAATATTTTAATGCTAAGACTTCATATTTACACAAACTGATCCAATTTTAGTTTTGGTTTCTAAACTTTTCTTTATTTTTTATTTCTTCGAACTTTGAAATTATTGTTTTTAATATACAGTATATATTTTAAGTCAAATTATTAATATTTATTTTAGAAATAAAAAAATATTTATTACTCAATCACATATTAAAAAGGCATCGTAAACATGTTATTGGGTATATGAGATTGCATGTGTGATCTTTCGTTAGACACAAGACAAGCACTTATATGTTGTTATATAACAAAAACAAAACTTTGATTTTAAATTGTAGAAAGATAAAAGACGACCCTTTTATTTGTCACAAAAAAAATTTAAGTACAATTCAATCCTATAAAATTAATTTTAGTCTTATATCTAGTCTAGAGGTTATTTTAAATGCTTTCCATTAATTTTGGGC